AATCTATCCAACCAGCACAGGAAGCTCTGTTGTTTTAAGAGGGACTTGATCCAGGTCTTCATTTTGGGTCATGCCTGGAGAAAGGGCACTGGTTGCCAGCAGGGTCTACCGTGCGCTGCGCCGATTCTGAAATTCCTCCCCTCCAAAGAATAGAACCGACCCCCGTGTTCGCTATTTATATTTTATTTCTTTATTTATATTTCTACATATTTGAGCGAACATGACAAAGAATAGTCCCGCTGTTCCGTTTTCCCTGTATGACTTCATCAGGCTATTCTCCTGAACGCGAGGATGCCAAGTTTGAAGACGCTCATAAGTTTTTGTTATGCAAAATTGGTATAATGAGAAGTTGTAAAGCATTGACATCTACAAGATCAGTGGTGTGAAGCATATTCTACATTCTCTTGGAAAGCTTTGAAATGGAAAGCTTTCTTCTGCCAGAATTCACCTTTAGGACTCTAAAATGATCGCCTGTGGAGAGAAGTCGTAGTGGTGGTTAAAAGTCTGTCCTCTTATCACTTTGCCATGCCTTTATATCCTTGTATATTTTGTGACTGGTACTTGAGTTACAACCCCATCCCGCTTCCGTAGGCCGAAATACGACTCTACCGTTGATTTGTCCGCAAGGTTGGCCTGGATCTGCTAAGATTTTATGTTTTCTAAGTCACTTACACATGCAGATGCTTTGGAGATCGGATTAACAGGATGGTCTTGAGAGGAATCGTGAGAATTCGTGTAAAAAGTCCTCCGGAGGACTTTTCAGATATGGCCACATTGTAACTGCCAGGAAGCGTAGGTCAAAGCAGGGTGTTAGAAAAGGGGAAGTGAAACACCTTGCATCGATTCGTCAATGGTGTAGCGTTTGCGGTTCGCGTGCTAATCCTCTTATTGCCACATGACGTGATCATCCGGACTTCCAAGTGAGTTCGAACTCACTTCGACATTCTGACGGAGAATCTTCGGAGGGGTTCCAGAGGTGCTCTACGCATGTTTAGGGAACTTCATATGGAAAGCCTTCACCAGGTTATCACGAGCTCATGGTCAAATGGGAGTAGCAGCTAAGGCCACCCTACTACCGTTCCAGATTTCATTTCCTCGCATTGTGAAAGTGCAGTGCCAATGCAAAGGCAATAGGGAATAAAATGTCGAGAAGGAAGTGCAGGATAGCCGTTAGGAATGTGCTGAACTGCTCTTCACCAACGGTTAGATCATTTTGGAGCACTGACAAGGGAAGGATACCAGGTCGAAGTGGCCATTTGTAACGAGACATACACCACTAGATGTGTTTTTGGACGCTGATCTCGAATCTGCTCTCCAAATCTGCGAAACGATTCTCTGGACGTAGTTATGAAAGCGAGATAGTGCAGTGGCAGCGGCCGGGCCGACGAGCAAGAGGTCGTGAGATCGACTTCTTGGCGAGTTCTCAGTTGCTTTTCTTGAAAACATTACTCAAGAAACTCTTGTGCATGCTAATCGTCAACGACTGCCTATCCTATAAGTGGAAAGAGCTGGCAAAGAGCTTCGAACACTGTGCGCGTCATTTGCCGTGTCCTGTCGGTCGTGTGTGCCCACATTTTCGACTTTAGGTCAAAATTTTGGATTTGGATCAAAAGTTGTCACAAGGGGTACTTTGATGCGCTGAACACGAAAATCACATCTATTTGGCAAGAAAGTGCATGACGCATGCGCTACGGGTGCCAGAGACGGTGCTTGCAAATGACGCACACAGTGTTCGAAGCACTTCGCCAGCTCTTTCCACCTGTATGATTGGCAATCGCTGATGACTGAAACATGGAGTAAAACTTCCTTAAACAATGTTCCCAAGAAAAGCAAAAGTAAGAACTCGCCAAAAAAGTCGATCCACGACCTCTTGTTCGTCGGCCGGGCCGCTGCCACTGCACTATCTCGCTTCATAACTACGTTCAGAAAATCGTTTCGCAGATTTGGAGAGCAGATTCGAGATCAGCGTCCAAAAACACATCTAGTGGTGTATGTCTCGTTACAAATGGCCACTTCGACCTGGATATCCTTCCTTTGTGAGGATTGACCAATAGGTGGGAGTAGCGTGATACCCAGAGATGATGAAGAAGTCTAAGAGATCTGAGCAGAGAATGCTCAAGACCAACTGTTAGCCGCAACCGTTTTCGTATGCAATTCAAAAAGCAATCCAAACCAACCTTGTTTTTGCAACCACAAAGTTTTCTGAATCATGAACTGCTCACATGGGAAGCTCTGTTGGGCGTTCGACAAAAAGACGAGAAGTGCAGGAAGCATTGAGCGCAATTCGGAAATTTGGCTAAATTGACGATCGGTTTGTGTATGATTGATTCCTGTCGATTGATAGATTTTCCCCAGTTTTCCACCTACGGCAGTGGCTTGCGAATTCGCGACCACATTTAGATTGAATATCAATTTCATGGTCAAGTCACCCATCTGTTCGGTAATGAACTCGCAGAAAATTCTGTGAAAGTGATTGTAAATGTTTCAGAGCATTAATGGAGACGACTAGACTTTGCGTCAGCACACGCTTTAGGATTGTCAAATGCTCTGCGAAACTCTATATAGAGACATAAAAGGGTCAGTGGACGGGAACACAAGTGATGGGCCGTTCAGAAAAATAGTAGCATGTACACAAATGCACCCTAAGATGAGACCTCTGATAAGGGAAGGCTTCTCCCTGCATAGCTAGTCAACTGGAGCTAGTAAGTAGTGCCCTGCAGTTGTGCTTGCCCCTACAGAGATCATTGTGAAGCGAAACACCCACTATAATGGTGATATGACTTCAAGTAGGGCATTTGATGGATTGGTTTTTCGAAAACGAGATCATGTGGTTCTTGGCTAAGTATGTGTATAATGGCTTTCACATACGTCTCAGATTAGTTGTATCATATTCCTTTCACACCTTTTTTCTAACCTTTATGTTCAATTTTCACTGTGGGTCACTTTTGTGATCATTTTGCTTTTCCTTTTCTCCCTGTCTTTGCCTCGTTCATTTTTCTTTTGCTTGTCATTCCATTTTGTAGGTTGTGGTCAATTTTGATCGTTTTTCTTTTTTTTTCGTTTTCCTTTGCTCTGATTTCTTCTTGTCGCCTTGTACTTTTTACCAGTGGTTACACTAGCAACTAAACAACACATTTAAATCATACAACAAGGAGGAAGAAAGAAAAAAAAGCAAGAAAAAAGCGGTTTCTAAGTGAGAAATCGTTTTGTTCTGAAGACTCCCCCAGAAAACAATCAGAATGGTCCCAATAATACATAGCATCAAGTGCAATACAATAACAAAAGTATGAATGCATTCCATAATCATTGCGAGAAATACTCAATTGTCATTCGCCATCGCGCATGACGTATACCATGAAACCTTTTTGCTAACTTTTTCACAGTCTATTTTAGATATACATTAGCTCAACTGTAATTACAGTGTACTGATAAGACGATATGTCGCAGTATGGAGCGATGCGAGTTGTCGTCAGTCACCGCATATCAACGAAAAGGATTGTGGAAATAATGAAAAAGTTTCCGGGTTTTCGAGAAAGTTGCTTCATGTGGGGTACAATTTTATGATGAGGCTATTAAAAGCTGCTCTATCGAGTTTACGTGAGCTTACATGGCAGTGTGCCATCAAGGTTTTGAACATCTTTTGGCCTAACAGCATACCAATAAGAATTTAGGTTGTGCGTTTCCCACTGCCGAAACAGCAAGAATCGGTCATCGATAGACAACATGCCGAGTGGCCTTTTCGTCTGGAACAAGAAATCATACGCGTGGTTGCAACACTACAAGAAACTCCGTACCTTGTATGTCATAAGTAGGAAATTATTCACAAGTTTTCGAAACGGGGTTGATTGTTTTCAGCGTTATCCAGCAGCATGGCCTTGCTCAAATGAACGAGCAAGCAAGTCGATTCTTCTTGTTGTGGAGCGGTAGACCTGTGTCGTGTTCATCAGCCCCACATCTTCTTCGACGGTTCTTCATAACGATAAATTGCGAAGAAATGAAGATCACCTGTATTTCGGTAAGTGAGCAAGTGCAATTGGGTGGTTGTTCTCGATTGAGAATAACATTCCACCATGTAGGCAAGACACGCAATTTCTGGGAGGAACTACAACGAATCTTGGATCATGATAGGGCAAGAGACCTGAATCAGTTGTTCCCAACATTGCCGCGCTGCTAGGTTAGTCAACCTAGTGCATGCTTTCAAAATGACAAAAAACATGTATAGCTTTCAAGGTCACTCCGAAGAATGTCCAAGCGCGTCATTATGAAGACAGCTGGGCAAAGTCCGCTGTGAAGGGATACCGTATTGTGAAGCTGTTAGCCGAAAGACAGAAAGGACTATTCGGGGCCGATATAGCGGCGGCTGAACGGCGCGTAAAACTTTGTGGGGTACGTTCAATCAATTAATTTCCTATAACACTCTCCTCTCAGATGCGCGGTATCTCAATTTTGCAGATTTTCCAATTTTCGGACGCGGAGGCAGAGGAGGATTGTGGAGAAGCGCGGACCCTATTCGGAGGACGAGGAAGATGCTGCTGTGGCATCCGATTCCAGTGGATTACGTCCCCTCAAGGCCGACTCGTAGTTAGTATCAGTATTACAGTGATTTTTTCTACAATAGACACTGTACAGACTAACATCACATAGTTATATTCCTATTAAGAAGTGGCTGGTGACGTGGCCTCAACAAGCGGCGCTCGGCTATCTCCAAGAAAGCGCGCAATGGTTTCGCCCTCATCACAAGGTACTTCTATTGTGACAATTACTAAACTATATTAACTGATTACATTGAGTTGCGGTAACATTATATAAGGCTCATAAAACAATACACAGTTTCAGCAGAATTTTTGGGGGACAGCAGTGATGAGGACTCCAATCGAACCCACCTCCCTCATAAACCACCAGTGGAAGTCCAAAAAAGCAAGTGGAATAAAGCGAAAAGGTTCTTGAAACGAGTAACGAAAAGGGCGGAAACGAGCGGGAACGAAGCCGGAACAAGCGGTCTACGTCAGCGTCAACATTCACTG